TATCTTCCGATTGTTATTTAGGACTGCAATCGATCAGTTTCTAGTTGGCATATGTGCATTCTGATCAATTGTAGTTCGAAATAACAATGGGAAGATTCAAGAAAACAACACCTAGTAAAAATAATATCACCTCATTGCACAAGCAGGTGATTATTAGGACTTAGTAGTTACGTAGACGACGCGATGGCGCTTGAACAGGATGGTACTGGGTTCGAGTCCCGGAGTGAACATCAACTCTGAGATGCAGGTACATGCAGCTGACGAGTCCCAAATTGGACGAAACACGCGTCCTGGAATCTACTTCTAACCACTATCCATCTTTGCTTAATCATCAAATCTGTCTTTTATTCAGGGACTGTTAATAGAGAAAAATAAGAGAACTGTATAATAATCAATTCTTTCGTATAATAAAGTTTATCTTGTTTTTTAGACCTATTATCTCTTGACTAAAATATATTGTTGTATGTTTGTCACGGATGATTTTCTTAGCAAAACTATGAGCGGATAAGTTTTGAACTTGCTGTATATATGGTAATAATAATAATAACAGTAATAGTAATGATAGTATGATGATTATATCAGCTGTTTCGTGTATAATTAACATTTCAGTTTCTTACAACTAGGAAACCAAACTAAAATACAAATTCTTTCAATGGATAATATTGCCCAGGGCAATTTTTTCTCTTTCTAACTAACCAAGATATCTACCTATCTATCTATCTATCCAAAGAAATTATAACTTTTAATTCGTTCAACATGTTTTGTTTTTGTTTTACATGGTAATTGGTAAATATCACAACATTGTAACAAACTATGTTAGATTATGATCAGCAGACTATATATTCCCACGAAATTATGGTTCTATTTTATTTTTCTCTTTTATAGAGGAATTCGATTTATTTAGGAAAATATGTTGGTTATTATTGAGACAACTAATTATTTCCATAAGTTTTCCCTTTTTTTCCCTTATTGTTATACATTGTTTTATGCTTGTCAGTTTCAGAAACAAAGAAGGAACGAATCGGGTGAAGAAATGCCTTTCGTTTAGGTTAGACACTAACACCATTGGGTGTTGGTTCAGTAGTCTAGTAGGTTAAGCGTTTGCGCGCGAGACTGAGGGCCCTGGGTTCGAACCCCGCGAGCGGGATCATGGATGGGCACTGCTGACGAGTCCCACAATAGGACGAGACGGCTGTCCAGTGCTTCCAGGTTTTCAATGGTGGCCTAACATCAATCGGTTCATGATCTCAATCAGAAATAATACTCGTCGAGTGGATATGTTACGTACTAATTACATAATGGCATTTCGATTCAAAATTAATATTGAGTAATTGGAAGAAAGAGGATTATTAATAATAATAAACAAAGTAATTATTCGAAAATCAAGCAGTTGCTACGTTACATATTATATGAAAAAGATAAGGAACAGAATATTTTGATGAATGGTCATTAGAATAGTAGTTATGTAAGAATTAAGAGATCATTGTTGAGAATAAGTAAAACACAAAGTTCAAAAAACAAAAAATGGGAGAAATAAGAAAATAGTTTATCAGTGTTGTGCTACAGACGCCCATATACCGATGGCAAAGGTTACGAAAGTGGTTGTACAAACTTCTTTTCGATGCAAAGGTTAAGTTTATGAACATGGATTGCAATCGCTTCAGCAATGTGCAAACGACGAACTCGTAAACCATGTGGCGTATTCGATGAAATATGGTAGATAACTTTAAAAGCTTTATTCAGTTCAACTTGATGACATGTGCCAACCAAGTGAGCGAGAATAGAAATCTTAATTATTTTTACCTGTCCTTTGCTCAACCACGATGGATGGTGCTCTGTTATACGATGACGACCATTCATCAAAATATTCTGTTCCTTCTCTTTTTCATATTTCTTCGCTCAATTCGTTCCTTCTTTATTTACCAATGGTCGAAATGGGAATTCTCACTAAGTTTCACAGACCATCAATCCAGTAGTTTATTTTCTCGAGTAAACATAAGGGAATACATTTAAAAACAGAACTGTATATCGTTTAATTATCTAGCTATATGTTGTATTAGGAATTATTTAAACATTTAGTTTGGTAAACTGAGATCGTACAATATGGAGTTTGTGTAAAATTCTCAAACTTTATAAAGACCATGGATCGATCTTAATTTGATAGCTATAGAAAATTTTGAAACATCTAACAGATATATCATCTTAGAGTTAGACTTCTTGGCAGTACATATTCAGACTCTGTAATAAGGAAAGAAAGCACGTGCCAAAGCCTTATCACGGAACTATGGATCCTGAGCTCGAGAACAGGAATGCCCAATTGATGAGGAGTCGAACAATGCTAATTGCTTAGTTTCAATGGATAAGGTTTGGTTTAATTCACTTCCAATTGTTAAATCAATTTCAATTCATCAATGATAAATATAAAAATGTACTGTAAATTTGAAAATGTAACAACTATAAGCTCATGTTTAATATACTTGAATTATGGTTAGCATTAAGATCCAGAATTTGAATGTCATCCTATCTAGAGCCTAACAAATAACTAATATCAACATAAAGACTGAAATCTAATACCTTACACTTCAAATCATAGAAAGAAATTATACACAAAACTATTGAGATCAGTTAACGATTGATCATTCTAATTAGTATAACATGTTCATCAATCAGATCAATGTTGTTTGTGCTTTTCAGTCTAATCAATTATTGAGTTCAATTTGATATTATAATATCAGTTTAGCTGAAATATTTTCAATACAATAAATCAACTAACATTTTGCTGAAATCTAGAATGTTTTTTTAAACAAAGATGAATAGTGGCTAGAAGTGGAATCCAGTTTGACGTGCGTTTCGTTCTATTCCACTGTTAGTCATTATCCATCTTTGCTTTAAAATATGCTTGTGACCTAAGACTATTACTTACTTACTTACTTACGCCTGTTACTCCTCGTGAAGGAGCATAGGCCGCTCACCAGCATTCTCCATACAACCCTGTTCTGGGCAATCCTTTCCAGCTCCTTCCAGTTGTAATTCATCCTTTTCATATCTGCTTCTATTATCCGACGTAATGTGTTCTTTGGCCTTACTCTTTTCCGCTTCCCTTCAGGATTCCAAGTTAGGGCTTGCCTCGTGATGCAGTTTGACGATTTGCGTAATATATGTCCTATCCATCTCCATCGTCTTTTCCTAATTTCTTCTTCAGCTGGAAGTTGGTTTGTTCTCTCCCACAGAAGGCTGTTGCTGATGGTCTTCATTTAGACTTAAGACTATACCGAGGCAATTCACACATGATGTGCATATGCCAACATGAGACTGATTAATTACAGTCCTAAATAACAATGGGAAGAGACAAGTAAACAATACCAAGTGAATATAACTTCACCTCATTACACAAGCAGGTGACTATCAGGACATAGTAGCTAAGTGAATAACGCGATGGTGTTTAAAGCGAACGGTACTGGGTTCGAATTCCAGAATGAACATCAACTCTGAGAGGTAGATATATCCAGCTGTTGAGTCCTAAATAGGATGAGACACGCGTCATGGATTCCACTGCTAACCATTATCCATCTTTGCTTTAAAAAAATGCTTGTGACTTCAGACAATATCGATACAATCCGTACAGGATGCACATATGCCAACATGAGACTGATCAATTACAGTCCTAAATAACAATGGGAAGACACAAATAAAACAACATCAAATGAATTTAATTCAGAATATTTTTTTTTAACTTTTAATTTTTAATCTCTAGATTAACAAATATAAGAGACATTTTTTACAACATAGGTGTTAGCAACTAAACGGAATTAATAAAATGTAGAGAATACATAATCCCTAGGGATAAAATAGAATAAATACGTATATCACTAACCTAAAATATGATATAAAGTTCATATAAAACCGATGATAATCAAGAATTTTAATTGGAACAATATAATTTGATAATGAGTAATTTACCTAACTAAATATACACGCGAATTGTTGTACACGTAAAGAGCTCAATATTTCAAGACACGGATTATAGTTAGGAAGATACATATAATATAAAACATTTCGTTACAAAGTTTTTATGGTATATAGAGGGGTGTTTATGGTGATTAATTGAAGTTGTTCATATGGTTACAAATGATGAAACGTTATAACAGTTTGATTTCATCCAAGTAGGAGATGAAATATTCATCATCAGTTACTATAAGCTATAAAGCGTCAATCATCTAATTTCATTCATGATAATTATTTCACTTCAGATATTCTTGTAGGTCATAAATGACAACTCATGAAACTCTCAATAACACATTTATGAAGCCCTTAGCAACAATCCAAAAGAGGAGCCCAGGAGAAAAGTTGATTGTAGATCCCTCGTTGTTGGTCTATATTCCACGGGTGGTAACAAGCTTAGGTAACTAAGGCTGTTTGTGAAGATATGTCATGGTAGGAGTGAAACAGATTTCATTGGATGATCAATACATCATTTTACAAATCAACTAAAGTCGAGGATTTATACAATTAAATGAAAACCCTGTGATCTTAAGAACAACCCTGAGATTTGAGAATCCTACATTCAATTCATGAATGTTTGAAGGTGAGTAGTTTGATACTAGGACGAGATAGAAATCGAGTGTCTCGTGGTTTATTATGGCACCTCCTCTGAGTTCAGTCCGTGATGGATACCACTTACAAATTAATTATTGATTATTTTACGGCATTCTCATTTATTTTTTCTCCCACGAAGTTAAACCTTTTTATTAAAACAACTATTCAAGAAATAAATCAAATTCCATGACTAAGCAAGTACTGAAGCTTACGAATATTTAGATATCGTCACTGACACATTGTATCCGCTTTAGAAAAAACAAGATTTCAAAATTAATGAAACGAACGGTCATTTTTTTTGCGTTTTACAGTTTCAATTAACAATTTTATTTAACCCCAGTGAAGTTCTTCATTTTACTGTAAACAATTTCCTTTTTTTCGAACTTCTCTCTCATTGACACTAGAAACTACCTATCGCTCCTGATGTAACCGAAGAAGAATTAACACCTGAAGAAATATCAAGACGTAAAGAATTCAAACAAAAACGTCGTTTGGTAGACTTAGAAGGTGCTGATGGATTAAGTTTGAAAGCTGTTCTAGCACATCGTGTCTCTTTACCCGGTGTGGAAGGTGACGATGAGGTAGAAATGGAAGCTGAGAAAAATTTAGAAGAAGAAGAAGAAGACCATGACGAAATGAAAGCTACTGATCAACAATTTGATCAGACAACTAAGCAAAATCCCAGTGGATCTATCCATGCAACGAATATTGATGATTCACTTTCATTACTGTCCAAATCATCCAAACACCAATCCGATGTTGAATGGAATTTCTCTAATATGGAACATGAAACAATTATCGATAAATTATCGAATAGAAAATCTGATCAATCGAATAGTTGTTGTGAAACAACAAGTATTTCATATTCAGTTCCTAATATTGTGAACAAATTGTCAACTTCAACGATTCAAACAGTAGAAGAACAAACACCATCACCACCACCATCACTAATGACAACGATAAAAATCAATAAGGATAACAGAAAATAACTTGCTATTCTTCCATTATACCACTTATACTCAAATGATTATTGTAGGTCATTATCCATATTACATCACATCAATATTTTTCACATTGTGTGTCTCTGTTATTCTCAACATAATCTTGACATGTAAAGTATGTTAAAATTTTACTGTTTACATTATTTTTTGTTTCTGGATTTTAGTCGTTTAATCAAGTATGTTGAGTCGAGATGGTTTCCACTCTCTCCCTCTCTCACTCGCTATCTCATTGTTTCCCTACAAGTTATCAAGCATTTTAGTACTTAGAATAAGAATACACTTGTGTGAAGTGCTTGTATACGGAGAGGAAATAGTTTTTTCAATATTATATACAATGTTGTATTATTGCATTTTTATACTTAATTTCTTTTATTTATATATTTTATTATCTTCTGATATTGATGTTAATCTTAGTTTATTTGTTTATCTAATCATCTATGTCTTCATTTAATTACTTGCTTACTTACATACCTGTATACACCTACGTGTTGTAGTTGTCGGCTTTTTGTCAAGTTCTAATGTTTCATATAAGAAGAGATTGTTTGTATTTGTGTGTAATGTAATTTTTCAACATTAGCGATATATTGCCTAAAGGTGAAGATATATAACGACAATAGTAATAATAGTAATAATAATAATAGTGAAGTAATAGTTTAACAACATTCTTCAAATCAATGTCAACTTATATGAGAATAACTAATGAGTAAAATAAAGTGAAAAAAAACAAACAGTATCAAGCATATGGATTGATATCTTTGAAAATATACTTTTGGCAATGAAAATATTCCATTCTTCCTTGTCCTCTCTCTTTCTCTCTGTGTGTGTATGTGTCTTGGTATAAATCTATATAGACAAATGTGTGTGTGTGTGACTGTGAATAAGGGAATATAGTGTTGACAATGAGATGTGAATGTTGTTTTCTTTACATGATTGAATAATGTTGTTGTTATTATTATTATTAAGACTATTTTGATTTTAACACCGGAAGTAATATAATAATATATGGTTGTCTGTCTTCTTTTATTTTTGTGACAAAAGAAGCAAACAAACGAATATACAAAGTTAATTGTTATCTTCTCATTGAATCCTTTGTGTTTGTTTCTTGTTTCATTTATACTGTAAGAAATGAAATTTTCAGTAAATAAAAGTATGAATTCATTTACATTGATTTTTTGAAACGTTTCTATCGGGCTGTTTCGGAGTGTAATTGATCATTCATCCTTTTTTTGGCGGGAGGGAATATAAGTGTACTAGATACGCATGACATTGATCGCCACCCAGTGATTAATCAGTTGTGATTAGATCTCAGGCCTACAGGAGGTCGGTCGCGGCCCGGATAGACCAGTTGTAACGTTTCTGCCTGTGAAGCTGGATGACACGAGATCGAATCCGCCAGGGAGCACCAGTTCCCTCAAGATTACAGGTACACCTTGCTGACGAGTGCCAAGTAACATGAAACCCGGGTCCAGGGTTTCCTGTCGACTACCTCCAACCACCATCTAATCTCAATATATAGTACCCACAGTGTTGAGTGACCTAGACTGGTGGCCACATTGCAACATGATCGATAGCATTCGATCTGCACTATTAAGGGCTAGACAAGCATGACATTGATCACCACCCAGTGATCAATCGGTTGTGAATATAAGTGTACCCCATACAGATTGCCTCCATATTATTAGTAGATTATGAACATTTTAAGCGGAGATGGATAGTGGCTAGTAGTGGAATTTGAGAAAAATGAATTTCACTCTTTTTGAGACTCGTCAGTTGAACGTATCTACATCTCAATATTGTTCTTCAATTTAGAGTTCGAATCCAGTACCTTTCAACCTAAGCTTTATAACTACTGAGTTCATATAATTAATGGGATGAAGTCTAATTTACCTGCGTTAATTTATAGAATCTCCCCATTCATTGGAGCTGGTCAGCACAGAAGTAATATTAAGTGAATAAATAAGTCTCGTGGCAAACTAATTTTTTAAAAATAAAATAAATGGCTAACAACAGAGTTCCGAATTCAAGTTTCATACTATTTGAAACTTATCAAGGGGATACATTTGCCACATATCAGTCTTCATAATAACACTAGAACTCAGATACTCAATGCGTTATCCACCAAGCTACTTAGTTCAGATAACCTTATACATGTGCAACTAATATATGTTTTTTTCTTCATAAAAGCTTGCGAAACAATGGTATGTCAAGGCAATCCTGACAAGACGCACATAGCACAACAAAGATTGGTCGAAATTCCATCCCACATATTAACAGCACAGTAATTCAAAATAAATTTTCTTTCTACTTTTTTATCATATATATTAGGTTTAATTGATAGTTGTTGGAGATAGAACGGTTAAGATACACTATTTTGACTTATTTTTTACAGTGTGATGAATTCATACTTTCTCTATCTGACTGTCTATTAAGGTCTTTAAAAAGAAGATCAAATATGTAAAATTCTCTATCAACGAAATCTAAACAACCGTAACATTTCGCTCGAGTCTTGGTTGATTTTCTTCAGGGAAATAATCAAACATCTGAAATTACCAAATATTATTTTATAGAACATGAACATTAAAAAAACAACAACCTGGAAACCCATGGTAAAAACTGGGTACTTAGTAGACTTCAGTGGAACTAGACCGACAGCTAAGGCTCTGTATATCTAGGCAAACGTAAGTGATCGAATGATTGATTAGCTGCATTATGACAACTAATGACAATACAGTAAATATAACTTTAGTTTTCGACTTTTTACTCATCTCATGTCTTATATATATCAGCAACATACTTTCATTTCCTTCAATCAGTTATAATGTTTGCATATTTCATGAAAAACCAGTCTATTTTTCATTATCAATACAAAAATTCATTTGAGATGGTGGAGAAGATTTGTAGCTCAGGTGGATGATTTTGGTGGAGTTTTGTTCTCTGAGCTGGATGGTTTGGTCGTGGAGCTTTCATCGTTCTTCTGAACGACATCATCAGCACAAACTTCAGATAGAAGTGAAGTGTTTGAATTTCTCCATATGTGTCTCAAAGCTTGACTGTTATTTCGTCCATCCCATGACAATTTGGGATTATGACTGACTGTCAGGTTAAGTAATTTTATTCAGGACTATAATTTATAGCCATATACTTAGCCTACGGTTATTCACATGTGATTTGTATACACATTCATAAACGTTTCTTCACTCTCTTTAAGCTTCAACACATTCTACACTACATAAGTTATATTCACATTCACATGTTGACCACTACCAAATTCATCATCTAAATACCATTGGGTAATGGTTTAGCATAAAGTAGTTATTAAAACATTTACAATTGATGATTTGAGATTCTTGATTATATCCCTGATGAAACCCGAACGAGGCTGTCGTGTGAAATTTCGGAGTTATTTAAATATCATTTAATGGGAATTTTACATTGTGGTTTCCATTTTGATATCTTCCAGTAAGTCGTTACCCAACTATTACAAAACTATTCGTCCATCTTTGACAAGGAAGTTCCTAGAAGATATCATGTGTTGAATTATGTATTAGGTAGTTTGACGTTAATACAATTTAATTCCGTTCTTTATTTATTTAAGAAGTTAATTAAAATAAGGATAAGATTTGCTAATTTGAAAAAGAGGACCAATAACCCAGTTGCATGAAAGTTAAAATAATCAACAAAGAAAACAAGAAAATCGAAATTACGAAAATACTCATTGAATTACATTGAACAAGTTTAAACAAAACGAAAAGTAGTTGTGTAGTGAACAGAGTACGGGTGGGGACAATCGAATGTATGTAACACAAAATTACAGGACTTGTTAATAGAATCTAAGTAAATGCTTAATTTGCAAAATGTTCATCGATTGTCCCAAAATGACTCAGACTTCATTGCCCTTGCATTTTCATACAAATTGTATTCTGCTTCCATTCTTTACTGTTCGATCCTCTTGTCTCCCTGCTGCCAGACCTTCTGTTCACGACTAACATCATATACTACTTATGTCAATATAAGTAGCACACACTACAGTTGATATGAATGAATAGAGAATTTTAGTCAGTTCACTAATAAATAATCTGGCATTTATATGCACCAGCTTAAGTTAACTTTGCAGATTAATATTAGCGACATTTAATTATCATGACAAACGTCGGAATAGCGGTAGCGATAGTATTAGTATTAGTATTGGTATTAGTATTAGTATTAGTATTAGTAGTAGTAGTAGTAGTAGTAGTAGTAGTAATAGTAGTAGTAGTAGTAGTAGTAGTAGTAGTAGTAGTAATAATAATAATAGTAGTAGTATTAACGATTATGATTCATGTTGTCAGTTTTAACGAAATTGGAAATCTGTGATAAGTTTAAAATATTCAGAATCTGAAGTCCGATAAAAACTGATCTTATCTAATCTTTTACGTGTTTAAAGAAGTGTCGTGCCTAACATCACAAGTATTGCATGAAGCCTAACTCAGCAGTCTGGAACTAATAAGCTTATTCAGCGTTTAAATTTCAATGCATGTTGACAGTTATCAAGAAAAAGACGTACAATACAATCATGATAGAAATTTATACTAACGTAAAGATTCAATGTTAAGATATTCCATCTATCTAACTATGATACGTCATAATATTTAATTTCTTCGGACTGATAATCACAGTTAAAATTAAACCTACTGTAAAGATTGTCAGTCATATTTAGCTGGTTTTTTAAAATGTAAGTTAATCCATTGTCTTAATCATTCAATTATAACTGGAATAACAATGCAATGATGGATATTATCAATTTCGTGTTTGCATCAACTTATTTGAAGTAGTATATTTCACTGATAATTGGTAAGAAAAGTTAGGAAATTTAAGTCACGTAATATAACTATTTAATATATGCAAAGATGAATGGTGGCTGGCAGTGAAACCCAGGACGCGTGTTTCGTCGTAATTGGTACTCATTAGCTGGATTTACCTGCATCTCAGTGTTGATGTTCACTCTGGGA